CAGAGAAGGAGAGACCTGATTGGCTGAAGTCCACACTGTTTATGTCACGTTAGGGACAAAAGACAGAACCTGTCCTGCTGCATTCAAGGGCTTTACTGCCTTATCTCTTCTGTTTGAATAATCTGTCCTCAACACGCGGGTGAAAACAGGAGCTCCACTGCTTTATGAACGTTAGCGCAGCAGTTAGCATTTCACATATTCACATGAAAGGCACGGCGCTGGTATTACTGAATAATCTATTCATAACTAAGGATGTAAGGACAAAGGAGACATATCAAAATAAAGGTCCAGTAAGAAAGAGTTGGCGACACCTGATGGTAGGTCTGCAGACTGTAACAAAAATGTGTACAGGACTCTGCATGCCTACATACCAGAAAGGATTTACTCTGCTGCAAAGATAAACCAAACTCTTTGTTTGGTTTTTTTGTCACTGCAACAAAAATAAAGTTCCAAAAAACCAGGGTGAGTTTTGAGCATGTGCGACAGAGCGGCTTCTTCCTGTCTGCACGTAAGAAAAAAAGTACAGGAGGGGGTCGATGGTTTACTGTCAAAAACACAACGTTCAACGTCATATAAGAAATTAAAATTAAAACTATGATTCAGATGAAGATGAATATATAGTGATAACGCCACCTGATGGGATTTTTATTCAATTACAGCCTGAAGTCACACCAGACCATCACTGCTATGACTCCGTGATCAGACTTGAACCTTTTTGTGGCGAGCTCGTCATCCTTCATCATTTTCAGGACGATGAACCTCGATTAAGAACCTGCTCAACACGAGTCACCAAAACAACACCGCGTCCAACCGTCTCCAGTCTCCAGTTTGGATTGGAGAATCACAGAAGGAAACATGGCAGCCTTAGCTGCTGATTCCACTTTTCATGCAAGTTTTAATATTTATATTTATTTGTGGCTGGTTTTCTCTTTAGTTAGTTAGTTAGTTAGTTAGTCTTTCAGTTATTTCCGTAGTTGATTAATCAGATTCCTACATCTCCAAACTCTGATTTGCTTAAACCAAAAAACCTTTTATTTTTTCAGCAATAAGAACGTGTTCATTTGTGACAAACACTGAGAAAAGGGGGGGGGGGGGTTGCTCAGGGTTGAGTGACTTCCTGACCTCTTCAAAAAAATTTAAAAAATAAAAATACATTTCAGTGTCAGTGACTAAAACAAAGACTTGCCCTTCTGCATGTCTGACTTTCACCCCCACACATTTTCGAAGCTCGAGGTGAGATTTTATTTGTGGTGAAATCTGCACAAGGAAACTGAGGAAAGAACCTCGACCCTCGAACCTCGAACCACGGTTCGTAGTGATGATGACTCGTATATAAGCGTAGTGATTTATAGCATGAAGTGAAAAGAGGGGTGATGGGGGGTGGGGGGGGGTTCAAAGCTGCATGTGGTGCAGAAAAGCTACCATCCTGTTTGCCCCAAACTGGCACCCTGCTCAACCTGTGTGGGTGTGAAGCCACTGTGGGCAGAACACCTGCGCAGGACTTTCCCCATCAGATAGTGATGGAAAACCTGGTACGGTGTCAGCCAGAGGTCTGAACCTCCCTGGGGTCAGACAGCCCACTGATCAGGATGGTGCGGAGTTTACTGATGAATCTTCAAAGATTTGAGGTCAAAACCACTGAGTGAAACTGAAGCCGCACCACGATTTTTGTCTATTTGTAAATTGTTTGAAGTGAA